GCCCAGCGTCCCCACCATGGGAATGGACACAGTGCCTGGCTCGGGCTGCTGGTGCGGCCCCGGCTCCGCAGGGCCCAGACCCCCTCTATGCAGAGAGCAGGAGGGGGCAGCCACAGCCCCCTCGCACCCCGACTCACTGTGATGTCCTGCTGTGGGACCCAGGGCCACACGTGTGGCCAGGTGGTGCCGGCCCCGTGGCATGTGCTGTGTGTCTGTGTTTGGTTCATTTTTAATACGTGGAAAATGTGAATCGTGTCCGGGGAAGGGGGCAGGGAGCAGCTCCCCCTGCACCGGGTGGGCAGGGACACCTCATGGCCCCATGTGCGTGTGCAGAAATGTCAGTGGTTTTTATATAAAGTCCAAGTGTCTCCTTTGGACATGTGTGTGCAGTGGGGCTGGGCGACTTCCCAGGCTGGAACCATCCTGGTGGCCCCACGGAGAGGAGCCATGTCCGGCTCTTGGTGCAGCTGGGGGAAGATCTGCTGTGGCTGCACCTCACTCAGTCAGGGCAGGAGGGCCATGCTGGCTGTCAGACTTGCAGAGTCCCCATGTGCTTGGCTGAGCATTGGGCCAGGGCACGGGGGGCCCTGCAGCGCGGTGGCTGTGTGCCTGCACAGCTGCCCAGGGCTGTGCCAAGGGTCCCTGTGACCCTCTGGCAGGGTGTCACTTGAGCAGCCATCGGCTGTCTTGGGGCCGTGCCTGGAGGCCCATGCTGCAAAGGGCAGCGTGGTGGAGGCAGAGCAGGGCTGATACTGTCTTGACACCATGAGAAGCTGCGGAAGGCAGAGGTGAACAGGACTAAGAAAACTTGGTGCCTGGGGCTGGGAGCGGAGCAGCCTCCAGCAAGAAGGGGCTGTGGCAGCCCCTTCCCCAGGACCATGGTGTTGTGCTGCACATAGGACCCACTGCCCATCTAGAGAGCAGCAGGTCCTTGTCCCCATCCCACCTGGCTGTAGGCAGACCCCAGCTGCTTTGGTGGCAGGACCTGACTCCATGGTAGCTGAAGACCAGGACTGGGACTACGGTGCAGTGCTGCTCATGAGCCCTCACACACCTTCACGCCTGGGGAGCACCAGCTGCACCAGGACGGGGCTGACGGAAGCAGTGAGTGCTGCACAGAGCTGGCGTGTTGAGGCAGGATCACCCCCAGGGGCCAGCACTGCCTCACTCCCAGCTGGACCTGCACACTGTATTTCCAGCCCAGCCTGTTCTGGGACATCAAAAAAGCCACCGGAGGCGTTGGCTGGTGCGTTGCCAGCAGACACGGCCCTGGGGCCACAGGGGTACAGGCCTTGGCGGGCAGATACTGTCAGCTACACGGGGCACTGAGCTGGAAGGGCCAGCAGCACAAGGAGCGGGAGACAGAGTGTGAGAAACAGCCATGCCAGTGCCTCAAGCTGCTTCTTCCCAGCACAGGGGCTCTGCAGGGCCAGCTGGAGCCCAGGCCCAGGCCCCTCACCAGCCCAGTGGGGCCGCTGGCTGCGGGCCAGGGCAGAGCCGGTGGCTGAACGGGCACAAAGGGCCCCAGCGCTGCCCACAGCGAAGGCCCCGCTCGCCTGGCCGGGATTTGCCTCAGAAGCACCGAGATCTTTGTGCTGCCCAGAACAATCCCATCATGGAGGAGGGAGGGAGGAAGGCAGGGGGGTGGCCATGGAAAGGGCTGTCACCGCGCAGGACGTGGGACCTGTCCCACAGCGGTGGCTCGTATACGGGCAGACGGGCCTGGCAGGGGCCCGTGTCCCCAGCACCCTCGTGGCACCTGTCCCGCAGCCAGACAAAGGCAGCAAAGAGTGAGGGTGAAACCGGAGCCCTTTATTTGTGTCCTCACAGGGGCTGGGGGAGGAAGAGGCCGGCACAGCCAAGCAGCTGCTGGGCTGGAGCCAGAGGAGGGGCAGAGAGGGAAAGGGAGGAAGAGGAGAACAGGCTTTGAGAACGGTCAGTGCTGAGGCAGCACGGGGGAGTCCAGCTGCACACCCGTGGGCTGTGCCAGTGGGGAAGGAATGTGTCCTGTGCAGCCGTGGGGGGACAGCTCTGCTGTGGGTTGGCACCTGTACAGTGACACTTGGGTTATTGCTCAGAGAAACGGCCCCCGTTTGGGTTATTGCTCAGGAAAAACGATCCAGAATTTGGTTATTGCTCAGAGGATCCATGTTCGGGTTACTGCTCACAGAAATGAATCCATGTGGCAGCAGGGACGCTCCCAGGAAGATGAGGAAGCTGAGAAGAGGCTGGAGAGGGAGGCAGCTCTCTGCCTGCTGCTGGAAGGCACAACTTGGGAATTGGTCTTTAGGGATTTGGGAATTGGTCCCGAGGGCAGGGAGGGGGGCTGTGCTGGCGCAGAGTGGCCCCAGGCAGGAGCAGCTCAGCCTCCCCCACCTGCAGAGCTGCCCTTGGACTGCATATGGAGTCAAACTGGTGCTGGGAGAGCAGAGGGGCTGCAGGAGAGGCAGATTCGTAGGGCCCCCCACTGCCAGGCACCTGAGAGGAAAGCAGGAGGGCTCCTGCCCAAGGCACTGTGGCATTGCTGGGCCAGTGAGGGGCCAGGCCTGTGTTCTCTGAAAGAAAAAATGGCTGAGCCCACAAGGAGCTGCAGGAGCCAGAGGAGCACTGGAGGAATTGGAGGAGTGGTAGAGAAACTGGAGGAATGATGCTGGAGGAACTGGACAAGTGGTGCTGGAGGAACTGGAGGAGTGGTGTTGGTGAGCCATGGGGCTCACAGGACGATCTTGAAGGAGCTGCAAGAGATACAACAGGTTCTGCATCTCCTCGCTGGGTCACACAAAGAGTTTGCGAGCACCCACTGCTGCAGGGACCCGTGTTCCCACGTGGGAGAGGCTCTGGAGAGCCAGCTTGGGATGCAGAGCCAGCTTGGGATGCAGAGCCAGCTTGGGATGCAGCTCACTCTGCCATTATGGCAGACCTGGCAGAGGGCAGCCCTGCCCTCCTGTCACCATAAGCTCTGCCCCAGCTCAGCAACTGGGACAATGAACCCCCCGACAGGCCCCGGGATAGGCTGTGCTGCTGGGCACCACCGCACCTGGCAAAGTCTGGGGAGCGGGAGACGACATGCTGGAACTCGGAGAGGTTGATGGTGCCATCCTTGTCGATGTCAGACTCCTCCAGGATCTGGGGGGAAAGGGATGGTGAGCTCTGTGCCTGGGGCCGTGCGGTGTCCGTGCCCTGCCCGACGCGCTCACGTTTTGGATGAGCTGCTCCATCTCCGCCCTGCTCAGCCGGGACTCCTCGCCCTGCCCCGTCAGGCAGTTCACCAGTTGCTCCAGGTCCTTCCTGTCCAGAGTCCCATCGTCGTCAAAGTCTGTGGGGACAGGAAAGGTACCTTTTGGAAGGGCCACAGAGACCCCAGAGAGTCACAAGCACCAGCACTGCGCAGCTTCATGCGCATCACTGTGCCAAAACAGCCAGTCCCACAGGGAGTTCCTAAAGCCACCGTCCCCATGGGCAGCCCTCCTGAACATGGATTCATCCCCCCATCCCCTCTTCCTTGAGGTGTGGGGACCCCAGGAGACAGCAGCAGTCCCCAGCCTTACCAAAGATGCATGGCAAGGAAGTCTTCAAAGGACATGCTGTTGTCCCCGGCCTCCGAAGTGGAGAACACATGGCAGATCCGGTGCTGGAAGGGGTTTGCCTGTGGACACGGGAACGGCTCAGGCAGGGCTGGGCTGGGCTGGCTCCCTCCGGCACACACCGGCTGTGGCTGCTGCTCCAGCAGCTGAGCAAGTGCCCCACTCTGCCACCAGTGCGGCACCCACAGCACAACTGAGCCTGTCCTGTGCCTCCCGGGATGCACCACAGGGATCCCTGGGATCCATGGCACAGCAGGAGGAGGATCCCCGGGATCCTCAGCGACTCACTGGGGACGAGGAAGCTGTTTGTGGGCACAGCTGAGGGCAGAGCATTGGCACGGTGAGGCCGTGGTGGGTAAACCGAGGCCCTGCCCAAACATGCCCCCACCCAGGAGTAGCAGCGTCCTGTGTGTGCCAGGCACCGTACCCGCAGCTCAGGCAGCGTCAGGATGTGGCTCTTGGGAACCCGCGCGGAGCAGGCGTTCTCCCGCTCCTGCTTTGGCAGCAGTTCACTGAACCTCTTGTAGGCACTTGAAGAGGAAAGAACAAGAGCGGCTCTGTGGTGCTCCCGGGATGGCAGCAGCCCCTCTGGGCACCGGCAGTGCTTCCCAGGGCCGGGCGGGTGCATGCCGGCCCGGGGGTCCCCCAGCTGCTCCCGGGGCCAGGGAGAGGAGCCGGCCTGGTGCTGCCCGCCCCAGGGCTGGGGATTCAGAGGGGGCTCGGGGCGGCTCCCCAGTCCCCACCCCGCCCGTCAGGGCGGACCCGGCCCGGCCCGCGCCACCGGCAGCACCCGCGGACCTTTGCCCTGTGACACCCCGCTGTCAGGGAACGGCACCGGCACCTCCCGGCTCAGCGGGGCATCACGGCGGAACGGTAGCCCCGGGGCAGGGCCGGGGCCCTCCGCGACCCCCAGCACAGCCCGAGGCCCCGGGACTACGGGGGGCCGGGGGTCTGCACCCACATCCCGCCCCACGGGCGGTACTTACAGCAGGATCTCCTGCTTGCTCAGGAACGTCAGCTCCTGCGGGGAGAGTGTGGGTCAGCACCGGGCACCGGGGTCAGTACCGGGGTCAGCACCGGGCGCCGGGGTCAGTACCGGGGTCAGCACCGGGGTCAGCACCGGGGTCAGTACCGGCAGCGGGGTCAGGGCCTGACCCGGGGCAACGCAGCCCCGGGTCCCTCGGCCTATGGGCAGCTGCCCCCCGGGGTCGCGCCGCCCCCGTGTCCCCCCGGCGCCGCCCCTCTCCGCCGGTGCCGGTGCCGTACCTGGTACTCGCCCAGCGCGTCCCGCGGCAGCAGACTGGCCGAGCCGCCCATGGCGCCGCTTCCGCCGCCTGTCACTCACCCGCTGCCGTGGCAACGCCCCGCGGCCAGACAGCCACGCCCCCCCGTCCCGCGTAGCCCCGCCCTCCCGGCGGACCCCGAGTCCGCGGGTTCGCGGCTGAGCCCGCCCCGCACCGGCAATGGCGGCGGCGCCGGCGGCGGGCGAGGAGCGGGGCGAGCCGAGCCCCGAGGAGTTCGTGTACGGCGAGGAAGATTTCGTGCTGCAGCCGGCCGGCTGGGACGACCCGGACTCCGCGCCCTCCCGCTTCGACAGGGCGCTGCTGGCGGGCTGGAGCGACCGTATGGAGCGGGGGCTGTTCCGGTACCGGCTCGGGCCGATGCCCACCCGCGTCCTGCCCGGCCCCGTGCGCCTCGTGGCGCAGCTGAACGAGCAGCGCAGCGCCGAGCGCCGCCCACCGCAGCCCGTCCGCAGCCTCCGGGACCCCTTCGACCCCGACGCCTTCAACTTCACCCGGCTGCGCCCCGCCGAGCTGCTGCTCCGCCTGCGCCGCGCCGGGGGCCCGGGGCCGCCGCCCGACCCGCTCCTGGTGGCCATCAACGCCAGCCCGCTGGAGCGGGGCCACGTCCTGCTGCTGCCCGAGCCGGCGCTGCGGCTGCAGAGAGGATGGCACCGGGACTGAGACTGGGACGGGAACCGGCGTGGGTTGCTCCATGGCGGGCCCCACACCAGCACAGGGGCTCTGCAGGGCCAGCTGGAGCCCAGGCCCAGGCCCCTCACCAGCCCAGTGGGGCCGCTGGCTGCGGGCCAGGGCAGAGCCGGTGGCTGAACGGGCACAAAGGGCCCCAGCGCTGCCCACAGCGAAGGCCCCGCTCGCCTGGCCGGGATTTGCCTCAGAAGCACCGAGATCTTTGTGCTGCCCAGAACAATCCCATCATGGAGGAGGGAGGGAGGAAGGCAGGGGGGTGGCCATGGAAAGGGCTGTCACCGCGCAGGACGTGGGACCTGTCCCACAGCGGTGGCTCGTATACGGGCAGACGGGCCTGGCAGGGGCCCGTGTCCCCAGCACCCTCGTGGCACCTGTCCCGCAGCCAGACAAAGGCAGCAAAGAGTGAGGGTGAAACCGGAGCCCTTTATTTGTGTCCTCACAGGGGCTGGGGGAGGAAGAGGCCGGCACAGCCAAGCAGCTGCTGGGCTGGAGCCAGAGGAGGGGCAGAGAGGGAAAGGGAGGAAGAGGAGAACAGGCTTTGAGAACGGTCAGTGCTGAGGCAGCATGGGGGAGTCCAGCTGCACACCCGTGGGCTGTGCCAGTGGGGAAGGAATGTGTCCTGTGCAGCCGTGGGGGGACAGCTCTGCTGTGGGTTGGCACCTGTACAGTGACACTTGGGTTATTGCTCAGAGAAACGGCCCCCGTTTGGGTTATTGCTCAGGAAAAACGATCCAGAATTTGGTTATTGCTCAGAGGATCCATGTTCGGGTTACTGCTCACAGAAATGAATCCATGTGGCAGCAGGGACGCTCCCAGGAAGATGAGGAAGCTGAGAAGAGGCTGGAGAGGGAGGCAGCTCTCTGCCTGCTGCTGGAAGGCACAACTTGGGAATTGGTCTTTAGGGATTTGGGAATTGGTCCCGAGGGCAGGGAGGGGGGCTGTGCTGGCGCAGAGTGGCCCCAGGCAGGAGCAGCTCAGCCTCCCCCACCTGCAGAGCTGCCCTTGGACTGCATATGGAGTCAAACTGGTGCTGGGAGAGCAGAGGGGCTGCAGGAGAGGCAGATTCGTAGGGCCCCCCACTGCCAGGCACCTGAGAGGAAAGCAGGAGGGCTCCTGCCCAAGGCACTGTGGCATTGCTGGGCCAGTGAGGGGCCAGGCCTGTGTTCTCTGAAAGAAAAAATGGCTGAGCCCACAAGGAGCTGCAGGAGCCAGACGAGCACTGGAGGAATTGGAGGAGTGGTAGAGAAACTGGAGGAATGATGCTGGAGGAACTGGACAAGTGGTGCTGGAGGAACTGGAGGAGTGGTGTTGGTGAGCCATGGGGCTCACAGGACGATCTTGAAGGAGCTGCAAGAGATACAACAGGTTCTGCACCTCCTCGCTGGGTCACACAAAGAGTTTGCGAGCACCCACTGCTGCAGGGACCCATGTTCCCACGTGGGAGAGGCTCTGGAGAGCCAGCTTGGGATGCAGAGCCAGCTTGGGATGCAGAGCCAGCTTGGGATGCAGCTCACTCTGCCATTATGGCAGACCTGGCAGAGGGCAGCCCTGCCCTCCTGTCACCATAAGCTCTGCCCCAGCTCAGCAACTGGGACAATGAACCCCCCAACAGGCCCCGGGATAGGCTGTGCTGCTGGGCACCACCGCACCTGGCAAAGTCTGGGGAGCGGGAGACGACATGTTGGAACTCGGAGAGGTTGATGGTGCCGTCCTTGTTGATGTCAGACTCCTCCAGGATCTGGGGGGAAAGGGATGGTGAGCTCTGTGCCTGGGGCCGTGCGGTGTCCGTGCCCTGCCCGATGCGCTCACGTTTTGGATGAGCTGCTCCATCTCCGCCCTGCTCAGCCGGGACTCCTCACCCTGCCCCGTCAGGCAGTTCACCAGTTGCTCCAGGTCCTTCCTGTCCAGAGTCCCATCGTCGTCAAAGTCTGTGGGGACAGGAAAGGTACCTTTTGGCAGGGCCACAGAGACCCCAGAGAGTCACAAGCGCCAGCACTGCGCAGCTTCATGCGCATCACTGTGCCAAAACAGCCAGTCCCACAGGGAGTTCCTAAAGCCACCGTCCCCATGGGCAGCCCTCCTGAACATGGATTCATCCCCCCATCCCCTCTTCCTTGAGGTGTGGGGACCCCAGGAGACAGCAGCAGTCCCCAGCCTTACCAAAGATGCATGGCAAGGAAGTCTTCAAAGGACATGCTGTTGTCCCCAGCCTCCGAGGTGGAGAACACATGGCAGATCCGGTGCTGGAAGGGGTTTGCCTGTGGACACGGGAACGGCTCAGGCAGGGCTGGGCTGGGCTGGCTCCCTCCGGCACACACCGGCTGTGGCTGCTGCTCCAGCAGCTGAGCAAGTGCCCCACTCTGCCACCAGTGCGGCACCCACAGCACAGCTGAGCCTGTCCTGTGCGTCCCGGGATGCACCACAGGGATCCCTGGGATCCATGGCACAGCAGGAGGAGGATCCCCGGGATCCTCAGCGGCTCACTGGGGACGAGGAAGCTGTTTGTGGGCACAGCTGAGGGCAGAGCATTGGCACAGTGAGGCCGTGGTGGGTAAACCAAGGCCCTGCCCAAACATGCCCCCACCCAGGAGTAGCAGCGTCCTGTGTGTGCCAGGCACCGTACCCGCAGCTCAGGCAGCGTCAGGATGTGGCTCTTGGGAACCCGCGCGGAGCAGGCGTTCTCCCGCTCCTGCTTTGGCAGCAGTTCACTGAACCTCTTGTAGGCACTTGAAGAGGAAAGAACAAGAGCGGCTCTGTGGTGCTCCCGGGATGGCAGCAGCCCCTCTGGGCACCGGCAGTGCTTCCCAGGGCCGGGCGGGTGCATGCCGGCCCGGGGGGCCCCCAGCTGCTCCCGGGGCCAGGGAGAGGAGCCGGCCTGGTGCTGCCCGCCCCAGGGCTGGGGATTCAGAGGGGGCTCGGGGCGGCTCCCCAGTCCCCACCCCGCCCGTCAGGGCGGACCCGGCCCGGCCCGCGCCACCGGCAGCACCCGCGGACCTTTGCCCTGTGACACCCCGCTGTCAGGGAACGGCACCGGCACCTCCCGGCTCAGCGGGGCATCACGGCGGAACGGTAGCCCCGGGGCAGGGCCGGGGCCCTCCGCGACCCCCAGCACAGCCCGAGGCCCCGGGACTACGGGGGGCCGGGGGTCTGCACCCACATCCCGCCCCACGGGCGGTACTTACAGCAGGATCTCCTGCTTGCTCAGGAACGTCAGCTCCTGCGGGGAGAGTGTGGGTCAGCACCGGGGTCAGTACCGGGGTCAGCACCGGGCGCCGGGGTCAGTACCGGGGTCAGCACCGGGGTCAGCACCGGGGTCAGTACCGGCAGCGGGGTCAGGGCCTGACCCGGGGCAACGCAGCCCCGGGTCCCTCGGCCTATGGGCAGCTGCCCCCCGGGGTCGCGCCGCCCCCGTGTCCCCCCGGCGCCGCCCCTCTCCGCCGGTGCCGGTGCCGTACCTGGTACTCGCCCAGCGCGTCCCGCGGCAGCAGACTGGCCGAGCCGCCCATGGCGCCGCTTCCGCCGCCTGTCACTCACCCGCTGCCGTGGCAACGCCCCGCGGCCAGACAGCCACGCCCACCCGTCCCGCGTAGCCCCGCCCTCCCGGCGGACCCCGAGTCCGCGGGTTCGCGGCTGAGCCCGCCCCGCACCGGCAATGGCGGCGGCGCCGGCGGCGGGCGAGGAGCGGGGCGAGCCGAGCCCCGAGGAGTTCGTGTACGGCGAGGAAGATTTCGTGCTGCAGCCGGCCGGCTGGGACGACCCGGACTCCGCGCCCTCCCGCTTCGACAGGGCGCTGCTGGCGGGCTGGAGCGACCGTATGGAGCGGGGGCTGTTCCGGTACCGGCTCGGGCCGATGCCCACCCGCGTCCTGCCCGGCCCCGTGCGCCTCGTGGCGCAGCTGAACGAGCAGCGCAGCGCCGAGCGCCGCCCACCGCAGCCCGTCCGCAGCCTCCGGGACCCCTTCGACCCCGACGCCTTCAACTTCACCCGGCTGCGCCCCGCCGAGCTGCTGCTCCGCCTGCGCCGCGCCGGGGGCCCGGGGCCGCCGCCCGACCCGCTGCTGGTGGCCATCAACGCCAGCCCGCTGGAGCGGGGCCACGTCCTGCTGCTGCCCGAGCCGGCGCTGCGGCTGCCGCAGGCGCTGACGGCCTCTGCGCTGCGCGGGGCGCTGGAGGTGGCGCTGCTCAGCGCCCACCCGGGATTCCACGTGGGCTTCAATGGGCTGGGCGGTGGAGCCTCGGTGAACCACCTGCACCTGCACGGGCTCTACTTGGGTCGCCCATTGCCGCTGGAGGCGGCACCGGCTGAGCCGCTGGGGCCGCGCCTGGGACTGCTCCGTGCCGGACCGGCCACCGCCTTTCTCTTCTTTGCCGCTGGCCCCGCGGCGCTGGAGCCGGTGTCGCGGGCCGTGTGCCGGGCGGTGGAGCACCTGGACGGCGCTGGGCTGGCCTGCAACGTGCTGGCCACGCGGGGCGACCCTCCGGCGGGGCCCGGCGCCAGCAAAGACCGCGGGCTGCGGGTGTTGCTGTGGGCGCGCCCGCCCCGCTTCGGCCCCAAGGTGGGCGAGCCCTTCCCCGTGGCGGTGTGCGAGCTGGCGGGGTTCCTCCCGCTGCCCGCCCCTCCGCTCTACTGGCACATCACCGAGGCACAGGCCCTGAGCGCCATCCGCCAGCACCTACTGCCCGAGCCCGAGCTGCTGCGCCTCGGCGGAGAGCTGGCGCGGCTGCTGGAGAGCTGACGGCACCGGGACCGAGACTGGGACAGGAACGGGCGCGGCTGCTTGAGAGCTGACGGCACTGGGACCGAGACTGGGACCGGAACGGGCGCGGCTGCTGGAGAGCTGATGGCACCGGGACCGAGACTGGGACAGGAACGGGCACGGCTGCTGGAGAGCTGACGGCACCGGCACGGCTGCTTCAGGGCTGGTGGCACCGGCGCGGTTCCTGGTGCCGCCCGCCAGGGGCCGCTGCGCGGCGGAGGACTGCGGAACTGACAGTCACGTGCCCTCAGCGGGGCCGCTCTGGCTGGCACCGCCCGCGTCTCTATAGCCTTGTCGCCATGGGAACGCGGCGGCCCTGGGAGTGGCGCGATGGCGGCGGGCGGTGGCGGGGGGGGGCCGGGACCGGGACCGCCCTCGGGAACCCCACCGGGCGAGGAGGCCGCCCCTGAAACCCCACCGGGCGAGGAGGAGGCGGCCGCCGCCGCGGTCCCCCTGGACCGTTCCGGTGCCCCCGTCGGCCCCGAGACGCGGAGGAAGCGCAGGCGAGTGCTGGGCCGCAGACCCCCGGCAAGGCCCGGGGAGAGCCCTTCCAGCCCCACCCCGGGGCGCCTCCCGCTGCCTCAGTCGTGCTCGGTCCCGGTGTAGCCCGGCCCCGCTGCTCCCCGCGGGCACTGCCCTGCCGGGGCCCGCCGCCCCCAGCCCCCGGGAGCTTGTCCGGGGACCCACAATAAACAGTTCCCCTGAAACTGCCCCAACGATCTCCCATGTGACGCACCCAGGCGCGGCCCCGTGCCCGGGACCCCTGTGCCCCATCTCCTCAGGGCTGTACCCGGTCAGACCTGACTGCTGTGCTGCGTCTGTGTGAGGGATCGGGCTGTGTCCCCCCTCCATCCCGTGCCCACTCCCTCGCTGAGCCCCTGTCTTCTCATCTCTCTCAATTCCAGTGTCCCCTCCATCAACCTGAGCGGCTGCAGGTACGAAAGCGGTAAGTCTGAGGGGCTGCAGGGTCCCTGTGGGGTCCCTGAGGGGCCCAGCCCACCCCTGCAGGCTCTGTGGGTGCCTGTGCAGCCGGGAGCACTGTTAGCATCCAGTTCTCACTGTTTTATTTACTGGTGCCCAGTGACTGGGTCCCTGTGGTAGTGGGGAGTTTGTCACACTTTGGACTGAGGTTTCCCCTGGTTTAAAATGTGTAACAGCAGCATAAGCCCTCAACATCCCCCCACACCTGTGTTTGCCAGGTGTCTGCTAAAGTGGGTGAGAAGGGTTCAGTCAGGTACAGTGCAAGGGGGTACCTGGGCTCGGGAACAGGACCTAAGGGCTCTCAACTGTTTCAGGTAAAGCTGGTGGTGGAACAGTCAGGATCCATACCTTGAACCTCCCCCTGTGCCATCCATCCCCAGTGACTCCAAGGAGCTGGTTCCCCTCCCCTGTCCCGCTTTTCTTTCCTGCCACAAGCTGGATCTTAAAAGAACAAACTCCTGGCCCTTGGGGGGTGTTATTAAGCCACTTCGCTAAGGTGTCTTGGTGTGCACAGACCTCCATCACCCCCCCAGCCCTGCGAGGGCCAAATTCAGACCTGGCACTAACATGAACCATCCCAACCGAGACCCTTTGCCCCAGAGCTGTCTTCTGCTGCCAAAAGACCTTGGATTTGGAGATTAAAGTCACACTTTCCTAAGACCTGTACCTGCCTGTGAAGTATCAAACCCGTGGCAGGTTCAACCCTGCTGTCAAGTGGCCCTGGCACCCCAAGGCAGGTGGAATTAGAGGGCTGAGAGCACCCAGAACATCTTCAGCCAGAGGCTGGGGGGTAGGCCAGGTAAAGCTGGTGTTCCTGACACCTCCCAAAGGGTCCCACCAATACCTTGTACTTCTGAGAGAAGTGCAGCCCAGAGAGGTTTGTTCCACGTCCTGTCCCTGGTTATTTTGGGGGTTTGTCAGTCACTGTGGCTCCCCTGCCTGCCCCTGTCACCGCTTGCCTTGGCACAGTTCGGCGGGCAGCACAGCACTGCGGGCTGAAGGAAGCGGGAGAGAACGAGGAGTGGACAGTGTGCTGGACAGACACCTCGGTGTCTCTGGAGCGCCTCATGGAAATGAAGCGGTTCCAGGTAAACAAATGGGCTGTCCAGCAGGAATCGCTCAGGGAGGAGGGTAACACGGGGACTGTTGATGGAATAGCATATGGCAGAGTGGAACAGAGGCATCCAAAGCAGTGCCTGTTACTCATCTGTGCCTCAGCTCCGCACCTTTCCTTGTGCCGTGTCTGTGGTCGGTGCCTCAGGAGAACTCAGCAGCTGCAGTAGGAGTGGGAGCACTGCCAGCCCTGTAACGTGCTGTGAAATAAATGGGCTGGGATGACGAATGGTTTCTGTGGTGCTCCGGGCAGGGAGAGCTCCAGGGCTGAGATGGAGCAGATAAATCACTGGTGACGCTCAGATAGAGCAGCTGTAGTGCAGTCTTGCCCCTCAGCAGCAGTTCAAGGCAGCTGCAGGCCCAGCCTCCTGCCTGCTCTGCTGCCGGTTCTCCGCAGGGCCGGGAGGATGCATCCGTGCGGGGCTTCTGCTGATCTGGCTTTTTCTGCCCCTCTTTCAGAAAATCAACCACTTCCCAGGCATGATTGAGCTCTGCCGTAAGGACCTGCTGGCTCGCAACCTGAACCGCATGCTCCGGCTCTTCCCCGAGGAGTACAACATCTTCCCCCGCACGTGGTGCCTGCCAGCCGAGTGAGTAGTGTGGGACAGCGCCACGGGGACGGGCTCACACTGGGAGGGGTAGCCTGCTCGCCTGCTCCCTCTGGGCACCAGAGCCCAAATCTTACTGGCTCCGGCACATTATCGTGGTGACCTCTGCCACGGACCTCCTGGTACAGATGCAGATGTGTACAAGGAAAAGGTGGGACTGGGAGAGCTGAGTCAGGTCACACAGGGACCAATCTGTGACTCTTGTAGATCAGGAATGGAGGTTCTATATCTCCCCTGTGGACATTTGATTTGTACTGGCCCACAGTGCCATGGTTTCAGTACCCAGCTGTTAGAGTTCAGAGGGTGTTTTTTGCAGCTAGTGACCATCACCCCTTCCTTGCACAGCTATGGAGATTTCCATGCCTACAGATCCATGAGGAAAACCAGAACATTCATCTGCAAGCCCGACAACAGCTGCCAGGGAAAAGGGATCTTCATAACCCACCACCCGGAGGAGATCAAGCATGGGGAGCGCATGATCTGTCAGCAGTACATCTCTGAGGTACCGGGAGAGTTCTGGAACACCAGAGGAGGATTCCAGCCTCCTCATTCTGCCAGAATCCCACATCCTTCCCATGTCTCCCCAGGTCTGCTGGGGGTGGCTGTGGCACAGCAGGGGCACGGCCAAAGCTCTCCCCCTCCTCTGCTGCCAAAGAGCAGCACAGGCAGATGGGGCAGTTCCTGATCTCACCCTTGCTCCTGACTTTCCTCACAGCCCTTCCTCATTGATGGCTTCAAGTTTGACATGCGCATCTATGTGCTGGTCACATCCTGTGACCCGCTGAGAGTTTTTCTCTACAAGGAGGGCCTGGCCCGGTTTGCCACCATGAGGTACATCGATCGCAGCAGCAGAAACCTGGTAAAAAAAAGGATGTTTCAAAAAACCTCACATAGTATCTGTAGGTGTCACTCCCTAACTTGTCCTAGGGGCATTCCAGGCCTCGAAAAGGTTGGGGGCTGCAAGGATCCCAGCTTGCTGCTTTCCTGTTCTCCCTCTATACCCCTTCCTTGTTCTCCTCACAGGAGGTATTTCAGGAGGGTCTGAAATAGATCTACCCCCAGATCTAGCCTCACATTTGGGCTGTTTACTGACATTACCACAAAATCATAGAGTTGTTTTGCATTGAAGGAACACTGGAAGGTCTCCAACCTCATGTTCAAAACTGGGTCAACAATAAACTCAGATCTGGTTTCTTGGGGTCTCACCCTAGCAGGTGTTGAAAACCTGCAGGCCAGAGCCCCCTTGGTGCCTCTGGCCATCACCTACTGCTCCTGGCCCTGAGGAGCGTGCTCCATTCCACACCATTCCTGCTCTGCCCATGCATCAGGCAGAAAAGAAGGACCTGGGATTGTCTGGTGGGGCTGTTTCTGTTCTCGCTGCGTGGTTCAGAGTGAATGAATGTCTCTCCTGGTTTCCTGCTAGGGTGACATCTGCATGCATCTGACCAATTATGCAATCAACAAGCACAATGAGAACTTCGTCCAGGATGACACAATGGGCAGCAAGAGGTACTGGCACATCCAGGCACCACAGGAACGCTGTGGGACTCTGGTTTACCTCATCCTTCCTGGGGTGGCACAGCTCAGCCCTTACCACCTCCTGTCCCCATGCAGGAAGCTGTCCACCCTGAACACCTGGATGGCAGAGCACAGCTACGACACAACAAAGCTCTGGGCAGATATTGATGACATTGTCATAAAGACACTGATTTCGGCTCACCCTGTGGTGAAGCACCACTACCAGAGCTGCTTCCCCAACCACGCTGCCGGCTGTGCCTGCTTCGAGATCCTGGGCTTTGACATTTTGCTGGACAGAAGGCTGAAGCCGTGGCTGCTGGAGGTGAGGGAGGAGCAGACAACTAAAACCTGGGAGAGGCCTCAGGACAGGGGGGTTGGCATGAACAGGACTCGTTTGATTCAAAAGGGCCACCTCACTCACAGAATTAACCAGGCTGTGAAGCCAAGCACCCTGCTGTGAGTGGGATCCAAGACAACCAGTTTCCTGCACACCCTTTAACAGCAGGGAATTTCCCAAACCTTAGGACCCCTTTTCCTGTAAGAGCACCCTGAGTTTGTGACAGCTGCCCTCTACTTGCAGCCTGTGGGCTGGGATCTGGGTGACCTGTGGCACAGTAGGCACCACACTGCAGGGACAGAGTGCTGTGTGTGGCCTCCTGCTTCCTGTCACTGATATAGAGAAGAGCATCCATGGATAGTGTGGGGGGTGGCCAGGGCCATGGGCTGGGAGCTGGGGTGCCAGGTTAGGTTACTTGCTTGTCTTGGCAGGTGAACCACTCTCCCAGCTTCTGCACAGACTCTCAGCTAGACCGTGAGGTGAAGGATGCCCTTCTGTGTGACACCTTCAACCTGATCAATGTGCACGCCTGTGACAGAAGGAAGGTGCTGGAGGAAGACAAGCGGCGGGTAAAGGAGCGGCTCCTTCAGGCCAACCAGACCCAGACTCTCCGTGAGTCCAGGTATTGCTGTTTCCCTCAGTGCTACACGTCTCCAGTGAGGAGAGACAGGGCATGGCAGAGCAGGATAATGCCAGGGCTGGCAGGTGAAGCTCCCAGACCCCATGGCACTGTGCAGCCTCTGAGCTCTCCCAAGCCATCTGCATCCTGGAAGGAAGAGCTAAGGGCTCCTCTCTGGGTACCAAGAGATTTGTGACACCTAGTGCTCTGTGCCCCAGCAGAGACATCCCCATTGAGCAGCACCTGCTTGTCACATCCCTCGGTGCAGACAGGCAGAGCCAGTGTCCCTGGGCTGGCAGGGATGCTTACAGGAGGGACCACAGCCCTGCCTCAGGGACCAGGAGCAGCTGAGGGCATGGACCCTTCTCCAGAGCAGGATTCCTTTCCAGGGTTGAGGGTTTCCCCCTCCTCTGTCTGCGTGCCCTTTCACAAGGCCAGTGTTTACTGAGCCTGCTGCCTTGCAGGCAAAGCGGGGACTCTCTCCAGCTGCTGTTTCCATATGGAGTCCTGGGATAACCCTGGGAAACACCAAGCATGTCAGCCCTGTGCTCTGCCTGCCCCGGAGCTCCCTGTCGCAGCTCCCTGTCCTCCCTCCGGCTGCAGGCGCAGGGAGCAGGAGAGCAGCCAGGCTGCCTGGCTGGCACAGGCCGAGACCTACGAGAACGAGCACCTGGGCGGCTTCCGGCGCATCTACCCAGCACCTGGCACAGAGAAATACGAGCCCTTCTTCCACCAGGGCAGGTCCCTCTTCCAGGAAACGGCAGCCTCCAAGGCACGAGAGGAGCATGCCAGGTACACTGCTCCTGTGGAAACCCTCTCCTCAAGGGGGGTATGGACACCACTCGCTCCTGAGCCCTCCTGGGGAGCCACTCTGCTGCTTGGCAGGTGTAAGCAAGTGGGGAGAGCAGGAGGGGAAGGGAAGGAGCCTGCACGTGCTGTGGCATCACAGCAAAGCAGTTCCTTTTGGATGGACCCCAGAGAGGCAAGGGCAGCGCTCCATTGACTTTTGGACCCTGGAGAAACCATGTCCCAAATGTCCCACTCCCTTCTGTTAGGCAAAGCCTAATCTAAGCCCATTTCTCTTTTTAAAAGTCTCTTTACAAGCATCCCTGGCCTATCTCTTGGCACACTTCTATTATGGGCTGTTTAGACAGAACTTTGGCCTGCAGTAAATGTCTTCAGGTCAAAGGCTGCCCTACAGCCTTTTGCTGTTGTGGCTCTGACTGAGCAGTGAGTGACTCTGCTGTTCTGTGGCAGGCAGCAGCTGGAGGAGATTCGCCTGAAAAACGAAAAGCTGGAAGCTGCCACCAGGAAGAAGAAAACAGAGAGGATCCAGAATAGAAGCACAGCTTCTACAACCCACCTCACTCACAGAAGCACCAAGACATGGGATAGAAAGGTATCTCAGTGTCAGCATTGTCCATGGGCTCTCCAAGGCAGTGACATGGCTCTGGGAGCCATGCTGGGCCATGGATGCTCCCATGGAGCAGAAATTCCAGGTTTGACTCCCTGTATGAAGTCCAGAAAATCGACAGCTTGTGGTGGGCAGCACTTGCAAGCAGCAGTGTTGTCCTTTCCTGTTGTGGCTCCCACTAGGATCTCCATCCCACCCCAAGTCTGTGACTCTCCCCAGGGTTGGAGCAGCCCATGGCTTTGTCTCACCTGTGCGTTATCCCAGGTTCAGCTTTGCTGTAGCTCAGGTGTTTCTCTGCCGAGGTGCAGCACGTGCAGTATGACTCCATGCAGCCCCAGGACATTGTGGAACACGAGGAGAAGAGGAGAGTGACTGCTCTGCTGCAGCGTGAGAAGCTGATCCGAGACCTGGGCATCACCAACCAGCTCTCTCGGCTGCTCCCCACAGCTGACAGCCAGGGATCCTGCACCCTCCGGAGCCAGGTAACGGGGTCACCCAGATCCACCCACAGCCAAGGCAGGAGGATGGTGAGGAGTGAATAGGGCACTGAGTGTCTGGGGCAGGATGGGGGTCCCAGCTCCACTGCCGGCAGATCAGCTGCTGTGCTCCTGGGGTGATGTGAGTCTGGGATGGTTGTGGGGGTGTACCTGGGGACAACGTGCAGGGGATGCTTTAGTGAACACCTGTACACGACTAGAAAAGACTTTTTCTTCCCATCTCCTGCCAAGGCCTCCAGAGCTAAGCCATGGCCATTTGCCTTCCCTCCTTCCAGCTGCAGTTTCCATGGGATGCCCTTGGGAACCAGGACACCCATGACTTAATGATGGTCATCTCAGTCCTGGGAGGCCCAGCCCATGCCTCGGAACACTGGGTCAGAGCCGAGGCCCTGCAGCCGGACACGCTGGGCCCAGCCCCCAACGACGTGGACACCCTCTGTGTTCGAGGCCGGAGTGTCCCGTACCACACGCGGCACGAGGGCTCCCGGGTGCTGGGCGGGGGCTGGCTGCGGGGCCGGGCAGCACGGGCAGCCGTCACCCACCCCGAGGGGCTGCTGCTGAGAGACCAGCAGCTCCCTGGTGCCAGAACACAGGCTGAAGGCTGTGAGTACACATCACCTTCCCATGGATACTCCTGGCCTTACCAGGGTGGGAGGAGTGGGCAGGCTGGATGAAGCTCAGAGTGCCAGGGGTGCTGGGACCCTGCGGAGGGGCTGCTGTGCTCTGCTCAGGGCACTGATGACCGCTGGAAGTCTCTGCTGGAGGCCATCAGCATCCCATTCGCAAGGGCAGGGATGAATGCAGGTGGATTGCCAGAACCAAGGGTTGATGTATGGGGAGGAGGGAGCGTGAGAAGCCCCAATGTATGGGAGAGAGTGAGCTGGAAGCACAGCAGATGGGACAGTCGAAGGGGTGTGTTAGCTGCAGTGGGTACGGAGGGGACACGGTGACATAGCACGGCCCCCACCAGGCCCATGCTGCTCTCTGCCTACAGTCCCACCACCCCTCACCCAGCCCTGCTCTGCTTCCCAGCATCAGCTCCACCCACTTGGCAGCCATAAGGCTGGGGCAGCAGGGCCAGAGGGAGAGCTGCCAGGGCCAAGCCCCACCGGGGAGGGCAGTGGGGACTGCTGACCCACAGAGCTGCCCGGTCCGCAGACAAACCCACATCTGTCTGTGCTGTTCCAGGTGATGCTGCCAGCCCGTCGTCCTCCCATGCAGGCAGCTGTCCCCCAGCATCCCCAGCCAGCCCGGGGGAGGTCAAAGACGATGGCATCTTCAGCTGTGCTGTGGTCCAGGAGCTCCCCGCCGCCGCCGCCGCTCATGTGCAGCACACACGTGCCTCACACCATGGCAGAGCCTCACTGTGCCAGTGTGTCACACACTTCCAGCATGAAAGGCACAAGTAACGTGGCCGAAGGCTCAGCCTTCCTCTTGTGGGTGCTCGCTGGACAACCAGGGCTGCTGGATAGGTTGGCTATCCCCATCAGCCCCGGGGCCGGCTGCGGAGCCCCCTGACCGGAGCCTGGGCCCTGCCCGGGTCTGGCCACGCGCCCCGGGCAGCTTCACCTCTGCCGGGCCAGGGGCTGGTGCCTGTGCCCGCACTCCTGGCTGCGCCCCCGCGGCTGCAGCCGGGCCCGCCACGGGCCACCTCGCTGTGGATCCCGCCGGGGCCGCCCCCCGCCGGCCCCGCCCGTTCCCGCTGCCGGTCATGGCGGCGCTGCTGCGGCCCGGGCTGCGGGCGGCCGCGCTCCTCGCCAGGACCCCGCGGCGGGCGGCGGCGGCGTGGCCCGGGGACCCGGAGCCGCCGGACCCGGCGCTGGAGGAGGCGGAGAGGTGCGGGGCGGCCGGGCCGGGGCCGGGCCGGGCCGGGCCGGGCGCTCACGTGTGTCCCCCGCAGGGGGCGGCGGCGGCGGGTGGCGGCGCGGATGGAGCGGCTGCGGCGGGAGCTGGGCGGGGGGCGCGGAGCCCCCGAGCGCGTCCTGACCTGGCAGGCGATGGAGCAGATGCGGTGAGCGCGGGGATGGGAGGTTCGCGCCGCTCCCGGTGACCGCCCCGGTGACCGTGCCCGTGCCCGCAGGTTCCTGCGGCAGGAGCTGCCCGAAGAGTGGCCGCTGGAGCGCCTGGCCCAGGGGTTCGGCGTCAGCACCGACGTGGTGCGGCGAGTGCTGCGGAGCCGCGGCTGCCCTTCGCCGCGCCGCCGCCTGCGGCAGGACCGGCGGGCGCTGAGCGCCGTCGCGGCGGCACCGGGGCACGAGCGCGAGGTGCGCGCCCCCGACGGGACGCTGCTGTACCGACTGCCGCGGGGCTGGGGCGGGCCGGGGCCCGGCGCGCAATAAACGGTGTTGGGACCCGCCTCCGATCGCGCCGCTTCCGCCGCGCCGGGCACGGGCTGCGAGGTGGCGGGGACGGGATTCGAGCTGCCGGGCATGGGCTCCGAGCTGCCGGGCATGGGCTCGGACGTGGCGCGGCTGCTGGAGGCCGCGGACTTCGCGGCCAGGAAGCACAAGGAGCAGCGGCGGAAGGACCCCGAAGGCACCCCCTTCATCAACCACCCCATTGGTGCGGAACCCCCCGGCACCGCGTCCTGCTCCGGAGGGATCCTCAGGACCCCTCCTGCCCCTGAGTGCCGCCCGCCCACGGGAGCCCCTCACCCCGGCCCCCGGGGAAAGCCGTGTCCCCTCTCCCATCCCACGTCCCTGAGCCCCTGCCCTAGCCACGTGTTCTGCTGTGGGTGCTCCCCCCACGCTGTTGCCGTGCAGTGGACGGTGCCCATGGGAGCTGATGAGGGACCCTTGGGGGCAGTGCCAGCCTCCGGGAGTTGCCTGATTGCCCAACCTAACGATTCACCCCTCAGGATGTGCCCAGGGTGGATCTTGGGGACCCCTCCTTGCCCTCTGTGCAGTGCAGCCCCTGTGTAACCCAAGGCACGGCTGTCCTGGCCCAGAGTTGCCCTTTCTCCCCCCGTGCCCGTTCCCAGCTCTCTGCTCTGGCCGCAGGCGTCGCCAGGATCCTGGCACACGAGGCTGGTGTGACGGACATTGTGGTGCTGCAGGTAAGGCCATGCCCTCCCCTGCCTGCTACTGCTGCGGCAGGGCCTGGCCTGGACCCTCTGGCCCCCTTGACCCTCCCTGGCCCCAGGCCGCCCTCCTGCATGACACGGTGGAGGACACAGACACCACGCTGTCTGAGATCGAGGAGCTGTTCGGGGTGGATGTGAGGCGCGTGGTGGAGGAGGTGACAGACGACAAGATGCTGCCCAAGATGGAGCGCAAGCGGTTGCAAGTGGAGCGGGCGCCCGGCTGCAGCCCCCGTGCCAAGCTGGTCCAGCTGGCAGACAAGCTGTACAACCTGCGGGACCTGAACCGCTGCACCCCCCAAGGTACCGCGGCAGGGCCCGGCCGTGCCCAGGGCAGCTCCTCTGCCTGGGGCAGGGCTGGTCCTGCGCCCTGCACGGAGGGACAGACCTGCCGAGGTCACCCCGGACCTGGGGTGGCTCCAGCCAGGGGCAGTGTGGGGAGCATCTGTCCTGTTGTGTGCCAGTGTCGTGGTGTGTGTGTGTGTGTGTAGTGATGTCTCAGTCTGTCCCGGGGTGTGTGTGTGGTGGTCATAGAATCACAGAATCAGCCGGGTTGGAAAGGACCTCTGAGATCAAGTCCAACCCTTGATCCACTACTGCCGTGGTTACTAGACCATGGCATTAAGTGCCACATCCAGTCTCATCCTAAAAACCTCCAGGGATGGAGAATCCACTACTTCCCTGGGCAGCCCATTCCAATGGCTGAGCACCCTCTCTGTAAAGAGTTTCTTCCTAATATCTAACCTAAACCTCCCCTGGCAGAGCTTAAGACTGAGCCCTCTTGTCTTACTGATAGCTGCCTGGGAGAAGAGACCAACCCCCACCTGGCTACAACCTCCTTTCAGGGAGTTGAAAAGAATGATGAGGTCTCCCCCGAGCCTTCTCCAGGCTGAACAGCCCCAGCTCCCTCAGCCTCTCCTCACAGCACTTGTGCTCCAGTCCCTTCCCCAGGCTTGTTGCTCTTCTCTGGACCTGCTCCAGCACCTCAGTATCCTTCCTGAACTGAGGGGCCCAGAGCTGGACACAGCACTCCAGGGGTGGCCTCACCACTGAGTCCAGGGGAAGAATCACTTCCCTGGACCTGTTGGCCACACTGTCCCTGATACAGGCCAGGATGCCATTGGCCTTCTTGGCCACCTGGGCACACTGCTGGCTCAATGTCTTGGTCTGTCCTAGTGTGTGTGTGGTGATGTCTCGGTTTGTCCCGATGTGTCTGTGGGGTGGTGATGTCTGGGTCTGTCCCGTACCGAGGTCAGGGCCGGGGCGGCTCCAGCCGGAAGTGACGTCATGTTTCCGCAGGGTGGTCGGCGGAGCGCGTGCAGGAGTACTTCCGGTGGGCGGCGCTCGTGGTGTCCGGGCTGCGGGGGACCAGCGCGCCCCTGGAGGGGGCGCTGCAGCGCCTGTTCGAGGAGCGCGGCGTGGCCACGCGACTGCGGGGCGGCCAATAAACGTGCGTGCAGCTCAGCGTCTTGCGTTGCTATGGTGTCGCTCGCTTCCGCCGCTGCGGGTTCCGGCCGCGCCGCGGCCGCGCTCGGGCGTTCCGGGCGCCGCGCCGGCCCCCGCCATGGCCTTCGCCGGGCGCCGCGACGCGCCCGAGCCTCCCGACTTCGGGATCCTGAAGCGGCTGGCGCGGGACCAGCTCGTCTACCTGCTGGAGCAGGTCCGAGGCCGCGGGACAGGGGTGCCGCGCCGGGGTGGCGGGGCTGGGGTGGGCTCGGGCGGGGCCGGGCCCCGGGGCGGGCGGTGGGTCCCAGCCCACGCGCACCCTGCCCGCAGCTCCCCGGGAAGAAGGACCTTTTCATCGAGGCCGACCTGATGAGCCCCTTGGACCGCATCGCCAACGTGTCCATCCTGAAGGTACCGCAGGGCCCGGCGGGCGGCCCACTCCCCCCCCCGGCCGCGCTGAGCCCGCCGTGTCCCCGCAGCAGCACGACGTGGACAAGCTGTACAAGGTGGAGACCCGGCCGGCCCCCGGCGCCAGCGACCAGTGAGTGCCCGGCCCGGCCCCGGCGGCAGCTGCACAGCCCAGGCACGGCTGTGGACGGGAAGGGCCCAGCGCAGGCAGGGCCAGGTACGAGGAGCCCTCGCTCCCCTCTGTAACGCAGGTTCTGCTTCCTGGTGCGGCCGCGGGTCAGGACGATGAGGTTCATCGCTGGTGAGTGCGGCACCGGGGGCAGGTGTCCCTCCACGGGTTCCGGTGCTCTGGGCCACCGCTGGGAGCGGGCCTGAGAGGGGCTCCAGACGAGCCCCGTGCCCGAGGCCTCACTTGTGCCCGGGGCGTTGGGGCCCCGTGAGCTGTGGGGCCCCGGGCCGAGGGGGGGCAGCTGTGCAGGGGCTGTACGGGGTGTCCACAGATATTGTCAATGCTGACAAGATGTCAGGGAGAAGCAGGAAGTACAAGATCATCTTCAGCCCCCAGAAGGTCAGTGCGACCCCGCTGCCCGTTCCCACTTCATACTGTGCCTGCCCAGCCTTTGCACCTCCCACCCCATCTGTTGGCACCAAAAGTTGTGTGTTGCTAACCCAGGAATGTTTAACTAAAATCGAGTGTTATGATGCCTGGGAAGGAGCTGGGCCGCTCCAGAGCTTCTCCCGCTCAGAGCCTGCCTGGTCCTGAGGGTCTCCCCTTCTCTTCCAGTTCTATGCTTGTGAGATGGTGCTGGAGGAAGAGGGGGTCTTTGGTGGTGAGTGGAGCTGTGATGCTGGCTCAGGGTAGCTCTGACACCGCAGGGTTCCGGTTGAATCCCAGTATAGGGATCCCTGTGTGGGCAGGGAGCACGAGTTGCTTCGAGGGTAGCTGCCAGTCTGTGGGCAGGCATGTGCCCACCACAGCACCAGCCCCTCTCCTCTGCCTGTAGGGAAGAGAGAGGGCCCTGCCACCCATCCTGTCTCTCTGACACCCTGTTTTGGGGTTGTCACGATCCCTGGGGCTGTTCATGCACAGTGATGGGTAACGGTCCCCTCTCCCTGCCCCAAACCCAGATGTCACCTGTGATGAATGGTCTTTCTACCTGCTGCCCCTGGACGAAGATATCATCAGCATGGAGCTGCCTGAGTTCTTCCGCGACTATTTCCTGGTCAGTGGGACGTGGTGGGTGGCAGCCTATCGTGTCCCCTGTGTCTTGGGACAAGGGCAGCATTTGGAGAGCAGGTGTGATGTCCTGCTTGGCTCCTCAGCCACACCACTTGTCCTGTCTGCTCCCCAGGGGTGCCTTTTGGGGGTAGTGGCTGCTCCCACCCTGTGCTGGCCCCTCTGCTCCCTTGGGAGCAGCTTTGGGGCATCCCAGCATGTTCCTGTGTGTATTCCTGTGCACGTACCTCCTGGAAGCGCCCAGCCCAGGGCCCATTCTGTCCCCAGTCCAGTCCCCTGGCAGTCATTCCCAGCCAGCTGCCCACACACACTCCCTGGTCCCACAGGAGGGGGATCACCGCTGGATCAACCCCGTTGCCAGAGCCCTGCAGTTGCTGAACTCCCTGTACGGCCCTTTTGGGAAGGCCTATGGCATCGGCCGCTGTGCCAAGGTACAGCCGGCACCGGGAGTCCCTCAGGTCCCCTTCAGCTGTGTGGCAGCACGTCACCACAGAGCTGGCACACCTCCGGACGGCGCTGGGGGCTCGGCAGGCTTTTGGGGGTCCCATGTGCCAAGGGTGGGCAGGAGAGCAGCGGCTCCTGCTCACTGGGGTGTGTCCTGGAGGGGGGAACGCTTGTGCCTGTCCTCCATCATGAGCCTCAGTGTCCCCCGTGGGACACCCTGGCCGTGCCTTGGCTGCACCCCCACCCTGGCACATTCTGCCCCTGACAGATGAGCCACGAGCTGTGGCGGGACCTGGAGGAGGAGAGCGAGGGTGAAGGCCAGGGCAGGAAGCCCGAGATTGGACATGTCTTCCTCATGGACAGAGGTGGGCTGGGGTGGGAGCAGCTGGTGAGAGTGGCCGGGGGGAGCAGTTTGGGCAGCGGTGGAGGGGCAGGGAGAGCCCCCGGGAGGGCAGCCTGGCACTGGCTCTCCTTGCAGATGTGGACTACGTGACAGCGCTCTGCTCCCAGGTGGTCTATGAGGGGCTGGTGGACGACACCTTCCGTATCAAGTGCGGTGGGTGCCCGGGGACGGTGATGGGGCAGCCGGGGGCTCTGCACTCAGGACAGGGGTGGCATGGGGCTCTGCACCTCCCTGCCCAGAGTCCACAGGGTTTGTGCCCGGCACTGTCGTGCACAGGGCCGTTCCTACAGGGACAGCCCTGATGTGAGGTGCTGCTGGAGGTCGTCCACAAGAACAGCCCTTGCTCTGACCAAGCAGCTGGGCCACATCCCCTGCCTCTGCTGCAGCAGGGCTGGTGTGTGCGGGGATGCCACTATGGCTGGGACAAAGCAGCTCTTCACTTTTCCCTGCAGGCAGTGTGGATTTTGGGCCAGATGTCACTTCTTCTGACAGGAGTATTAAGGTGCTGCTCAATGCCCAGGACAAAGTGAGTCCTCCCAAGCCTCAGGGGAAACAGGTCCTCATAGGGGGAGAAGGCAGAGCAGGGCATTCCCTCCCCTAAGCCTGAGCAGAAGTGGCCAGGGGCTGCTGGGCCCCTGAGTACAGATTGGGATGAGCTGGGGCACAGAGACCAGGGAAACATGGTCTGCAGGTGCAGCTCCACTTCTGAACTTGGCAGAGTCCCCACACACAGGGGCTGTTTCGTGAATGAGTGTTTTAAAGTTGCTTAAGGAATCGCCATCAAAGGTATTGGAAAAAACATGTTTAATATAAAAGCGACAGCTTGACAAAGTTCGGTGGCAAAACAATCACTCTAATTCAAAATCAACCCAAAAATATATATATGGAGGCTGAGATGGCAATAGGGGCAGAGAAAAGGATAGGTAAGAGTAAGGAAAAAAAGGAATATGGACTATGAAATGGAATATGGAATATGGAATATGAAAAAGGAATATTGTGGCTCAACTGCTGTGACTCAACTGCTGTTGAGTCACAAGGTTCATAGTAACTTTTCATCCTGGCCACAATTCAGGTCGGTAACTTTCTATGAAAGTTTGATAATAAAAATATTATTCCACTTGGGTTGAATAAAGCAAGAAAAATAAGTTTCCAAGGCTGTTTGTTAAAAAAACAGAGCTTGTTAGACAGCACTAATTCTTGGGAACAGACAGTGCTTCTGAAAAGCTTGAGAAGAGCTCAACCCAAGTGCTGTTCATAAAGGCTGATCCCTAAGGAGCATTTCTCAGATGATAGTGCAGGGGGATGCATCACCACAGGCTGCCGTGCCTCTGGCCAGGGTTTTGGGGCTGGCTGCTGGTGGGCGCTGGCCCCCCCGGGGGTGCAGCTGGCTGGGCCCGACAGCTGCGGTGCTTCTGCAGGTGTTCAGTCAGATCCGGAATGAGCACTTCTCCAGCGTGTTCGGCTTCCTGAGCCAGAAGTCACGAAACCTGCAGGCACAGTACGACGTGAGTGTCACCCGGCGTGCGGGACACCCGCGGCACTGTCCCTGTGCACAGCCAGGCCACCTCCCTGATGCTCTCTCCCTTCTGCAGCGGCGCCGGGGCATGGACATCAAGCAGATGAAGGACTTTGTGTCCCAGGAGCTGAAGGGACTGAAGCAGGAGCATCGCCTGCTGAGCCTGCGTAGGAACCAGAGGGGAGGGAGGGGTCCTTGGCTGTACTGCAGGTGCCTGAGTTCTGGGGGGAAGGGGGGAGCTCGGGGGGCCCTACATGTCCCCAGGAGGGGCAGGTGACCCAAGCAGTGGGCAGGGCGGCAGGGGCCGTTGGTGTGTGCCAGTGCCTGAGGTGACAAGCTCCCTGCAGAGCCCATTCCCCTACAAAGCTGCCATCTCTTGGTTCCACAGATATCGGTGCCTGTGAGTCCATCATGAAGAAGAAAACCAAGCAGGACTTCCAGGAGACCATCAAGGCTGAACACTGTGAGTACTGCTCCCTGCCCCCATCTGCACCTACCCCTATCCCAGTCTGTCCCACAGCTCCGCTCACCCCAGGCCCAGGCAGCCTCACACCTGGGTGTCCCCAGCATGGCCACTGTCCTCCCAGTCCCTTTGTGTGGGGGTATGTCTTGAGATCCTAAATAGGGTCAGGTACCCTCTGTGTGGGGGATGGTGTGGGGGCTCTGTTCCTCAGGGCTCTGGGAGAGCGGCTAAGCCCAGACCACGGCTCGGTGAGCTGGCACGAGTCCAGGGTGACAGTGCCTGTGCTCTCGCCACAGCACTGCTGGAGGGCTTCGACATCCGTGAGAGCACCAGCTTCATTGAGGAGCACATCGACCGGCAGGTGAGGCCGTGGGACCGGCTGCTCTGGCCGCCCTATCCTGCCCCTGCTCACCACCTGCTCCCCACAGGTGTCCCCCATCGAGAGCCTGCGCCTCATGTGCCTCCTGTCCATCACAGAGAACGGTGAGTGCCCGGCTGGGCTGGGCTGGAGCAGTGGCACTGGGCCCCAGCCCTGGCATAGAGCTCACCT